CACCCACCCATCCGTCTTTCAGCCTGATTCAAGAGGCAGATGCTGGCTTGGTTCACACAGCATGCTTTAGGCATCTTAGGAAAAGACTTTTGCCTAGTGGGCAGACTTTGGTTTGTTTTAATCTTGGTTCTCTGCTTTGCAGTTTAGGGCATCGGGTTCCCCAACCAGTTTGCCAGATCCAACTGATTTTACAGACTCCACAAATGGGTTAAATTCAGTAGCCAAGCAAAGCATCTGGTCAGCAGGGACCCCTGGTCATGCGGTGCCAAAACCCACCTTATGATTTTTTTAAAAAAACCCTCTTCCTTTGTGAAACAGGCTTCCATTTTTCTACTTCACATCCAGTGGGCTTGAGAATTCCTTTCAAATTTCTTTGAACGACGTTCTCTCTGCCCTACCTTGCCCACCTCTGCAGCCTCGAGGCTCGCCCGTGCCGATGAAAAAACATTAAGCATTATCTCGTCGCAGCACGCTTGACGGAAAAGTTGAAGGATTTGGCTGTAAAATACCACGGATGGACGTTGCAACGCAAACAGCCCAGATTCTCTTTAGGAGAGCAGAACACAGATTGTTCCCTGCCCAGCTTAATCCTGGATTAATTGCCCTGAAATTATATAGGTGTTTTAGGATGGAAGATGATTTGTTTCTTGGTTCCTCTCTATTTTGGCTGGCCCACCCATTCGGCTGCAAGCGCTGGTGACTGTGTGGTGCGGTTTAATCGAAGGCGAAATGTAGTCTGTTTGGCAGGAACTCAAACCAATTTCACCGTTGCCAAGAAAAATACATGGACGTGTCTACGAATCTGAGTTCCATGCGAGGGAAACTTTATCTTTACCTATGCAGATTGGGGTTGGAAGTGCTATCCAGAAGGAACCAAAGGGGTTTCTGGCTTGAAATTAAATTCAGAATGTGCCAAAACAAATCGCAAACCACTGTGTGTGTGTGTGTGCGTGTGCGCGCGCGTGTTAAGTTTCAGTCACTATTACAATTGCTTGTATGCCTTTTTTCTACTCTCTTGATTACCGTTAATCCATAGCTGATACCCAGGAATGTTCTAAATTGCATTTACACAAGATAGGAAACCCCCAAGCCGATTAACCAGCACAGCCGCTGGAGCACGTGGCGTGCAATCCTCGGTAGATGCATCTTAGCTTGTAGCAGAGGAATTTGATCAGGGATGACACGCAACCATGGCTTAGGTAAAGTCAGGTTTGCAAGGTGTAGTTTATCTTATTAGCATTATAAGCACCCCAAAGGCAGCAGGGCACAAGCAGCTTT